AACTAGTGATAGGTTTTTTCAAACAAAAAGTTTAAAAAATGATAAAATAGTCCAAATTAAACTTATTTAAAAAAACAAAAATTTAAAATAATTAAAAAATAAATCTATCTTATATATAATATTGACTTGTATTGATTTTTGTCATTTTGGTTAAAAAAGGGTGCTGCGTTTATTTTAACAAACTGTATATGGATACAAATGATTCACTATGAATTAAGAATACGGCCACTCAAATTTTTAAATCATCACGCCAGCTAAATTCAACAAAAAGCTCTTAAAGGTGAATTTGGCTGGTCAAATAGGCATATGTAGATTTCTTCTCAAAATAGGGCTTGGTATTTGCTATCATGTAGGCGAGGCTCCACAGTTAATAAATCAATGCATATTAATTCCTTAATAATGAGTAAAAATTATTCTTTGTTCTTATTCTTTCAGTGGAAAATCGTTTAAGTATACCCGTGTTGATCAATGCAAAAAACTAAGACTATATGAGTTATTTGAGTGGCTTGATCTCGTCTTGGCAACTTTGTCTAATTTGCAAGGGGACCTAGATTAATGCTTCTAGACCGGAGAACATAGTATTTTTGATTATTTCTAGTATACAACTTGGCCCACGGTCTGGCACTGGTAATTATCACGGATACTGTGGACTCCGGACAAGGTGGGCTAGTCTAGGTCCCCTTGACAATAAACCAGGTTGGTAAAACGAAGTCAAACCACTTTTGTACTACGAAAAGAGGCTGTTACCATTTTAAGGGCAATATAAACTTAATATTAACACCATCGATTAAAATATAAGTCATTTGTGAAGCTTCGTTGCAGACAGCATAATATTTTATATCTCCCATATGGCGAACATCGATCGATCTTAGCAAATACCATATTTTAATTATCTGTTTATACTTTAGATGAATGGGGCCTTGACAATTGGCACGTTGGATGGCGCTAATGTTGAGATATGTGAAGAATTAAAGGGCAGGGATATCTTCATCTTCGGTAATACTGTCGAACAAGTGGATGCCTTGAGAGAAAATGGGTTTGTTTACTTTAACTATTGAGATAATTTAAGATTCGTTTCGGAAAGCCTACAGCATATCTTTGATGTAGCTGGCATATTAGAATATTTTTAGCTGTGGTACTGAGTTTTAGATTATTTATTCCCTGTGAAGTAAGGGCTGATTATTAACTCCCCCAAATTTAGCATACTTTCAACGATATAGCTAATACGAGGGTAACTAGTTTTAATGAAATGAATATTAAATTTTTCGTTGAAAATCATTTGTATGTATCATACTTTAAATAACTAATGCAGTCAATAATTCTTCTGTATACGATGGACAGATTAGTCTGGCAGGATGTAAGGTTTTTTCTTAGGTATACTTTATTATATCTTGCCTTTTATTACGTTGCAATTCATCCACTTAGGACCCTTTATATTTATATGGGCCAAGGAATTTATATTTTACTTATAAAGTGTAATTAATAAATCGAAATCAAACATTGTAAATTGATCTAGAGAGAAG